GGGCAAAGCCCATGCCCCGCAGATGCCCCCCCCCCCCCCCCCCCGTCAGACCCGGATGTGAGGCATCAGCCTGCTGCTCTAGAGGACAGCACCACCTGGACCAGACTGTGCGGTGCTAGTTCTCACCTGACTATGGGCAAATTATTTGACTTCTTGATGCCTCCCTCCCCCCACTGGTAAAATGGGGTGACTCAAGCCCGGCACAGTACCTAACCGCTTTTGTCGTGACCCAGAAATCGGACAGTAGCCTCTGAGCCCACGCAGAGGACGGCTTCCCAGAAGGCGCAAGCTGGCTGAAGGACCCCCAGGGAGGGCGCTGCAGGGCTTCGCAGGGTGCCTGTGCCTGCCTGTGCCAGGACAGGTGCGACCCCCACCCACAATGCCTGGCTGGTCAGGCCGGATCTGGACCGGAGACGGGGCCTCCGTCCAAGGGCGCCCGGCCAAGGCTGTCCTTCTGCACAGAGGGACAGATCGCCCTGCCCGTGAAGTACGAGCAGACTGTACAGACGGAACCGGCTATGTCCGTGACGGGGAAAGTATTATTAAGCTGCCTGAAAACCTCCAAGGTCTACGCTTCATTCATTTCAGTAATTTTTTTCCAATAAGGCTTAAGTAAAGGCCAACGAGCAGGACCGCACCCTGAGGTGGAGGGAGCGAGCCATGTCGTCAGCCCAGGGTCCAGGTCCACACATCTGGCAGAGCTGCACACGCACTCCTGCCAGAGCGCGGAGGGAAGCCCAGCAAAACGTGAAGGGCCCAAGTGATCGCTGAAAGTTCGAAGAACTGCAAAAGCACACATCATGGGAAACGGAAATGGCTTCCGAGTCAACTTAGCCAATCACTGCTGAAACGGTCTGGCACAGACGTTAAGCAACCGGCGTGGAGCGCCCAGCGCTCAACGTTAGGGACTGAGCGACGAGAAGGCACAGCTGAATCCTCAGCTCCTGAATTCATACATTCACTCAAGCTGCAGTGGATTAAGAAGCTGGCCTTCGCCTCCTGGTTATAACTGATGCCTCCACGCTGCGCTGCGTCCAAGCCAAGCCCGGGGCACCGGCTCGGTGCCAGTGCAGACACCTGCCTGGTCTGTACGGCTTCCGCTTTCTCTTCTTGACCCCCTCTGCCGCTTCCACTCCTTTAGCTTCATCATCCGCGGCTTCCCGTTCAGGACTGGATTCTGACTTTGCATCACAATCCATAAGCTCTCCTTCTGGAAAAAAGCAAATGTGCAGGTGAAACTGGGGAAACCCACCAGATGCCCCATCACCCCTCACAGTGGCATGGAGCCCTCCTACTTAGTCTCCCGGTGACTGGGAGCAGGCAGGAGGGGCGGGAAGAGATGGCCGAACTGAAGCCCCCCTATGACGTGGGAACGAGCAAGTTGAGCCAGAGGGAAGTGAGTGGCTGCTCAACAACCTGAACTTAACAAAGCACTTACTTCCCTGCTTTTAATTGCATGTCCAAGCCCAAGACCCCAAGGCTACTCTCCAGCCACAACTCTCGTCAGCCCAGCGCCAGGCGCAGCCGCAGCCGGGCAGCCAAAGCAGAGCCCTGCTGCTGCTGAGGGCAGAAGTCAGGCGACCAGGGCCTCCCGCCCAGCCCCCTCCGGAGCTGCTGCTCCTGATGTTCAGACCCGGGCCCGGGACAGCCCTCAGCAGGACGAAGGTGCCACCGCCAACAGGGGCCAGGGGACATGCCACACCCAGTGCCAGCACTCCCAACCCCTGGGGCCCCCACTCAGCTCCAGGGGTGCTGGCAGTGACGCTACCAGCCAGAGAGGAAATAAAACACACTTGAGGCTCAAGCAGGACCACAAGACTGAACATGATCAGGGAAGAAAGAACTTGGAAATTACCATGTGATCACTGAACATTTCAGAATGCAGCTAAAAAAATCCCGTTATTTATTCTGATCAAGAGAAATGTTTATAAACAGCTGGTTTGTCACGAATATCTGACTCCCAATTCCCCCTCGAAGGCCAACGCGTTAGACACGATTTCAACATTAGCCAGTTTCCCAACAAAGCGGTCTGCTGCCTGGTACCTAGATGCCCAGGCACCAAATGCCCCCAGGATATTTGGGATTTCCACCATGCACTCCATCCAGAGGGCATACACAGAGCCCAGAGAGGTGCAAGCCCAGGCCCACCCACGCAGGGTGTGCTGAGGGACAGGCGGCTGCCTGTGGCCACGCTGAAATGCTGCGCTCTGAGCAGCAACCCACGAGCGCACGCCCAGGGACATGACCGGTCACCTCGACTGTCATCCATGTCACCGTCCCTGGAGTACTCTGACTGGATGTCCGGAGGGGTCTGCAGGACAGCCACGCTGTTCTGATTGATGATCTTCAACTTCAGCTTCGGCTTGGAGCGCTTTCTTCTGGGGACGGCGACTGTGAGGCTCTGCAGCTGGGCCATCCCCGACTCGGTCAAGCACACGCCGTCCTGGGTGTAGGTCTTGGGCGGGTCTAAAATCACAGCAGCCCGATCACGGAAATGAAAAGGCTCTCCCGGTTTCGACTGGTCAGTGTTCACCATTTCGAAACACATGTCAAGGGGGCGCGGCTTCTCGAAAGCACCTGTCTGTGCACCCTAGGTGTCACGACTACCTGTCAACCCTCAACTAAGGCAGGTCAAGCAGCCATACTTCCTTGCACCACGGGCAGGTGCGTGCTTTCAGTATATTGACAGAAATCCCTGGATTTCTATTTTCAGCTATTGGTGTAAAGGTTTAGAAATAAAGCGCTGCGCTAGAAGCAATGCTTTGGTCGGTCAACTGTGAGCCTCTGCTGGAGCGAGCGTCCTGGAAGGCCGCAGGCTGAGGCAGGGCCACATCAGAGAAGAGACACACGCATGCCCAAGAGGCCCACCTGGGAGAACACCACTGGCACAGGGGAGCAAGGGCAGGCAGGCAGGAGGAACATGGACACGTCGCTTATTCACTAGAATGACTTCTGTCACTAGCCAAGCTTTGACATCAGATGGCACGAAGCAGAGGAAGCAGAGGATGCTACTGAACAGGGATATCATGTCAGGCAGCGTCCCAGGGCTGGTCTACTCCAGAGAAACAGTCCGAGACTGCACGAACTCTGGAGAAATCTGCCCCCTTTCCGCTGACTGGACCCGTGCAGCAAAGGCAATGAAGCCAAGGCGGGTGCAGAGCTGACGGCCATTTCAAGAGCAGCTGCTTTCACTGCCGGTCTGCTGATGTTTAAGGGAAACCTGCCCGCCAGTGCTGAGAGCACGGGGCCAGCCCCGGGACAACTGTGTCCCCGAGGGCAGCCAGACCGCACGCCCGGGAGCGAAGCAGGCTTCACGTGACCGTGGCAGGTCAGCTGCGGAAGACGGCACGTGCATCGGGCTCGTAAAGACAGCTGAGCGAAGGCCTCGGCCTTACCTAGCTCTTTCACTTTCGTGACAATCTGCGCCACCAGTGAGGAGTCACCGCAGTCTGAGGAAGGCACTGAAATGGAAAACAAAAATTCACCCATGTTTTTCAGGAAAGGCGAAGTTCACTTCCAGACTCCCATGCGATGACATCTCTCATTTCTGTACCCGTGTCACTCAAACTAATGTGGTGCCCACCGACTGCATCGAAGGGTGGCTGAAGCAAGGGGGCAGTGGAGGAACGACAGGCCTGCCGCGCAAGCCTGTGAGGCCGCAGCACCCCGGGGGGCCCCCACAGGTCTGAGGGCCTGGAACAGAACCCCACTTCCTCTGTGAAAGGCGTGCTGAGCTTCCTGCCTTCACTAGCTATGTTAACCGGATAACAAGAGCTGCTTTGTAACACGAAGAACTTCTTTCTACGGAGGAAGGCCCAGAGAAGCACTTCAGGAGGGCAGGGGTGGTTGAGTGGGCTAGCGGGCTGGCGGCCACGAGTCCCCACGTGCTCACCGCTGGACGGTGGCATGAAGGGCCGGCACACGCTGCAGTCGAACCCCACGTCCACCGCGGCCTCCACCTCCTCCTCGGAGCTGAAGTTCTGACACACCGCATGCATCCACCTAGAAAGACCACACGTGCACATTTAAGACAAGGTGGCGCGGAGGACGGTTGCTCCCTAGGGCAGGGCAGGGCAGAGCCCCAAGCCGGGAGGCCCCCGGGCCCCACTCCACTTCAGCTGCCGCTGCCGGGCCGCTGTCTTTCCAGGCTGAAGAACAAGGGACCCAGGGCATGAGCCCCGAGGCTGGGGTGTTGCACAGACACAGAGCCAGCATCCCAGAGGCCCCAGGGCTAAGACGAGGAGCGAGGGAGGAGCGGGGAAGATGGCGAGTGGGAGAAGTCGGGGTACACAAGGGAGCACCTCTGCCAGAGCACTCTCCACTCGCCGAGTGACGCCCCAGTCTGGGGAATCGCAGGGCGATGCTGCCGCGGGACAGGGACAGAAGGTGAGTCCTGAGAACCCGCATCGCGTCACAGGCAGCGCCGCCCCCAACAGCGGGGCTCTGGCCTCTGAGGAAAGAACCTGGGGAGGACCAGGTCAGAAGCACCCCAGAGAAGGAGCTCCAGGGAAAATGCCCCCAAGAGCCCCAGAGAAAGGCGGGCAGTGCGGGCAGGGGTGTGTGCCAAAGTCCCCGGCTAAAAACCTAAGTCTGGGATTGAGAGAAGACAGGAAGCAGGTGCGTCTCTGACTCACCAGGAGCCTGGAAAGCAGAAAGGTGCTTCCTGCAGCTCGAGAGGGGAAGGGCTGCCGCCGAGCCCTCACCGGCGGCGCGGACGCGAGGCGGGGCACGTACCGGTCGCACTGCCTGCACTGCAGGATGAGGTCCTCCTCCCGGTAGCTGCGGCAGCAGGTGGGGCAGGTGGCCAGGCTGGCGCAGGGCCCGCACTGCGTGTAGTTGTTCTGCCACTCGCACCTCAGGCCCGCCGAGGCGGCCCCGCAGTGTCGACACCAGACGCACCTGAAACAACGGCCCAGCTCAGCACCTGACCCCGCCGCTGGCGCAAAAGCCACAGGAGACCTACAGGAAGGAGGCCCTAGTCTCCTGCCAGCGGCGTCTGCCACAGGGAACCGGTATGCAATCACGGCGCTAATTTTTACAACGCTCATGGGAGAACTACGTGAAGGAGAGGGCAGGGCGAGTCCTCCAGCACCATTTGCACTTCCAGCCGCCTTTGGGCACGGTCTGCAGCGGCGGGTCCAGGCAGTAGGTGTGGTAGCTGATGTCGCAGTCGTCGCACAGCAGAAGCCGCCCCGGGTCTGACGCCTTCCCGCAGGCCTCGCACACCGTGCACTCGAGACAGCGCCACCCTTTGCTCAGCACCACCTTCGTGATCTGTAAGAGAGGCCGCGACCCTGACCCGCACTGCCCGTCGGCACGCAGGCGGGAGGCTGGCACCGCAGGGTGGGCCTCACTCCTGCGGGAGCCCGCCGCCCCCCAGGAGAGCACCCAGCACACCAGACTCAGGGAGACGCCAGAGCGGGGGGCGGGGGGGGACTGGGGGCAGGCGAAGTGGAAGCGCCCTCTGCGGGGAGGGCTGTGCAGTGGAGAGGCGGGCAGCGAGCGCCCTGAGCAAGCTCCCAACTCTCAACTGCGGTTACCAACGGGAGGGATCAACTAACTGTGCCGTGGCATTAACCACACCCACGTGCTTTAAGTTATTCGTGCAAATGAATGAACGTGTGATCGTCCATGATCGCGACAGTGAGGCCACAGATGGCTAGCCATCAGCCTCCTGAGGAATCCCTTTCAGCGCAACATTTAAAGCATCCGAACACCGCCCCACACATAAAATGACCCAAGCTCCACGCGAGGACTCGAGGCCCGAGCACGGCCAGCGACGGGAGCGGCAGGGCGTCACTCACCTTGATGCTGACGCAGTACGGGTGGTAGCACTGGCCGCACTGGGAACAGGCCAGCAGCCTCCCCTCGGCGCCCTGGCCAAAGCTGCCGCACACCACGCACATGTCCTGGAATCAGAACATCCAACACGGGTCTGGCTGGAGAGCGGCTCAAGAATACTCCTGCACACTGGCTTCCTCATTTAAAGAAAAGCCTGCTGGTTGGTACAGCCGCAGTGCTAGTGACCGATGACCTCAGTGCACACAGGCAGAACAGAAATGGGCACGGCCAAGTTCAAAAGTGGAGAATGAGCACTTTGGTGCAAACCTGATGCAGTGTGAACTTGTCGCTGCTGGAGAACAGCACCACCGTGTTGTGCATGGAGTTCTCTTCCTCGTCCTTGCTTGATGAGACGTCGGCAGCAGACACCTGCAGCAAAATACAGACACGAAGTTGTGTTTTCACGTGTATTATACTCAAAAGCTGAGAACACTTTTAATGAAATTTTTCCAAGATCTACAGCCAAACCTGCAAATGCCACTACCACAAAGCCGTAAGCGTGACATCGCTCTTTCTCTAGAGCAAAGAGGGATGGACTAAGACAGTACAAGCGCCCTAAGTAAGACGTAATGGCAGCCCCAGTACATACTGGTGTCAAACACTCAGCCGCGCTTCCACGCCACCATGCCGGCAACCTGCCGGGCTGCCCAGGGGCTGGCCCACACTGGGGCCACTTCAAGTGCAAACATGGGCACGCCCCATCCCACAGACTTGGTGCAAAGGACAAGGCAGCTACTGCTCAGGAGCAAGGCTGCCGCATGGCACATTACACACTCAAATGATGGCTTTCTGGGAGTGCTGGGTGGGAAATGAGCACTATTAAATGTCACCTCTACTGACTGCCTTTCCTAAAACAGGTATTTTTTTAAAAACAAATGCAAGTAGAGAGGGTAAAACGCAGCCATCTAGCCACATGAGCCTGAGACCAAGTCGCTGGCAGGAGCGGGGCGTGGCGGGCCTTACCCCCGGCAGCACCAGCGCGCCGGCTCCACTCTTCAGCCTGGACCTTCCCCGGCCGCCTCGCCCTGCCAGGCCAGCGCCCCGAGGTCTCCGCTTTCCCGGGAAGCCCGACCCTCGGCCCTGCAGGCAAAGAAGGGAAAATCAGAGCCTCGCAAGGCAACATTAATCCAAATAGGAGAGCACGTTAAGGAGATGTTACACCAACACCCGCCCCCTGCCCTTCCTGGACTCTGAGCAGAGGATACATATAGTAAGTGACCAGGCTTGAGATGTTTCTCTCAGTGTATAGTCTACAAACCAGAAGCAGAAAATGCCTAGGACCTTAGAATCAAGCCCTGGGCATGTCGCCGTGACTGCCCACACGGCTGGCTTTGCCTCTGCTCCCCAGCAGCGACCCAGGCCTCCCGGGGCCAGCCCTGCGGGCGAGGGCAGCAGAGGAGGGCAGGGCAGCAGGCTGGGCGAGCACCGCCTGCCACGCCTGGCCCCTCTCCAGGTCCCGGTCCCCGGCAGGCTAGACGCAGGGCTAGCCCTCTGCCCCGGGGCCCGGGCCCTGACCTAGCCTCCGGCCGCACTGCAGCGTGGCAGCTGCCGGCTGCCGGGGCACAGCCGCGCCTCTGCGAGTGCAGACCCCTCGCTCCACAGCTGGCTGTCATGGTCTCCAGGGCCAGTTTATGGGAGAGCTGGTGGGAGGGTAAACAAGGACTTTAAACCATCAGGCATTAATTACTTGAAATGGAATTAAGTTAACTGAATTTTGGGAGAATGTTAAAATCTCCTGAAAAATGTATCCAGTGGTTTACTGTTGTTGTTTTCTGGTTTGTATTCACACTTGCATGTTTGTTAGTAAAGGAAAAAAACTAGCCCTAGAACATACTCGTGTATATCACAGTAATTAAAATATTCAGAAAATCCTTTCTGCTATTTTTCCCCTTAACAAGTTAAATAATACATCACATCTCCAACTGATGTCACTTTATAATGCTGTTTGAAATCCCCAACACATTTAGCAGCACTGTCTCCAAGTCAAACATTCTGAGTAAGCCTGAAACACACACCACGAGGCGCGGTCTTTCCCTCCAGCTTTAGCAAATACAGTCAACTTCCAGGTCTCAAATTGCATCTCCTTGACTTAGATCCCTGGACCTTCCCTGCACAAGGGGCAGAGCAGGATTGGGACGGGCAGTTTTCTTTCTTTTAAATATGCATACGAGCCCAAGTCAATGGTTAAATCAATTATTTACTTCAAAATGGCCAATCTAGTCATCTTTTATACACAAAACAAATATTCAGATTTCAGCATTGTGCATGGCATGAGAGGGCTGAAACCTAATTTGTCCGTTGTGATAGGGAAAAAATGCAATCTAGAGCCTCTCTGAAACTGTTGGTTAGTCTAAATTAAGCCTTACTCTAGAATAATATAAAATGTAGAAGTCATGTAATCAGTAAAATACTTTGCACATTTTCAGATGACTAACTTTTTTCAAATTAACTTACTATCCTTCCAAATGCACCAAGTGAACTTAACTTACTTAGGAGAACTAGCAGAATCACCCACCAATGACATGGGAAAGAGCCCTCTGAGTCTGGGGCTGGGAACACAGACAATGAAATCTCTGCAAAGCTGTTGTGCCTTCTCCATTACCTTTTCTGTACTAACAGGAACAGAAATGGAGCTTTGCTTCTTGCTTTAACTAAGCAATGGTGCTTGGCTGCACCACAAGTACCCAAGTCCTTCATTACTTTCTGGCCTATGTGACTGTGATTCCCCCTCATGGAAATACTGGTAATTACAACATAAAAGAAAGCAACTACTGAAAAAGGTTTTAACATTTTACAGTGAAAAATCAGTCACATAAAATGGCAATTTCCTCCCAATCTGATTTTAAAGTGCAAGCATGTTGCTTCTTCATACTGAAGTGTTTTTTAGACCCGCCCACTGCTCCCCTCAGCCGTGTTTCACTTGATCTGCCGTTCTCTCCACACTCCTATCTCTGTGGAGTCCTCTCGCCGCCCCCACACCACTGGCCTGTACCCATAAAATAAATCTTGAAAAAAATAGTTTTCAGACTTAAAAAGTAGCCCTGGATGCTGAACTATTTACCTAAAAAAGGCTCAAATCTTAATTTTACTTGGACAAAACCAAACAGAAAGAAATGACAAATGAATGTAAGTGCAGTTTTATTTACCACTTTGACGCTCCAAATGGCACTGCCAGGAAGCTGCCTGGGTTTAAAAATTTCCCGGCCTTCTGAAAAGTCTGGGGACCAGGAAGGTGGGCTCACTGTATTATGGGCGCTCCAGGCCCCCTAGGATATGGCAGGTGAGAAAACAGATGGATAAAACTCAGCAACACAAAAGGTCAAAGCAGCAACTAAAGAATTTTAAAACAGCCAAAACAAATGCAGACATATGGCATTTAGAACAAATCGCTTCGAGGTAGGGAAAGAAACGTCACTATGGGGGAATATACCTAAGTTTCTGAGGAGTAATTCATTAGCAACACAAGGAAACACTGAGAACCCAGACACCTAGGCTGACGGCTGGGTCCCCAGCAAGTGGACACGCTCCAGAATACCAGCCAGCCGAACACTGACAGCAGGCCAGGAGGCCACTCTTGCCTTGCTCCTCCTAGCAACCGCCGCGTCTCTCCTAGGAAGGAGAAATAAATGGCCTCAGAGTGCTCTGCCCACCTAGCTCTGAGAACATGCAGCCAGGACACCAGGGGTGAAGAGGCAGAGGCACCCCGCCCCCCAGACTGCCCCAGCCTGCGGACTCCCTCACGCTCCCTCCGCAGTGTGGGTCTGGGTCTTGACCTGCACTTACATGTCACACTAAGATAACAGCCAAAGGAGGACCTTGGAAAGTGCAGACAAGTTAAATTAAATTGCCCTAAATTTGGAGATGAAAATGCGCCAAGTACCCGACCATTTAAACAGAAAACAGTATCTTATTGAAACACTTCAAAAAATCAAGGTGCTGCATGTCCCAGGAACCAGTCGCCAAGAACCTGAATCCGCCGTCACCCGCTGCAGCAGCTTACCACCGAAGATTTAACACCGGCAAGAAACACACGCGACGACCATCAGGCAAGGCCCCGCGGCGTGCCTGTCGTTTACCAGCCCGCTGCCGCGGCGGCGTCCCAGTGCTCAGCGGCGACACAGCGGTCCCCAAAGGGGGCTGCCTGCGAGTAGGGGTACCACCAGAGTTAAGTAACCAGAAGTAAGAGTCCGACTCCCTCTGGGAGGAGACAGGAGGGAGTCGTGTCCGGGAAAACCACTCGGGAGGCAGTTCGCAGCTGGCCTCCCCTCGGCTCAGCTCAGGGCCTGCTGGCCGGGCGCAGGCCCTACTCGCACTGGGCCAGCCTGCTTGCCCTCCCCTGCCTAGGTCTGCAGTCGCCTCCGAGTGGTCCGAGGCCTTTCTCTCTCCTTCACTCTGCCTCTCCCCTAGCTGAGGCCCCCCGTCCACAGCAGCAGCTGCGTCCCGAAACCTCAGTGGCACCAGCCACCACTCAGGCAGGGCACGCCCTGGCATCCAGGTGGCGTCCCAAACCCACACCCCCACAGCTGCTGGGTTCTCAGCCTAAGTTCCCAGCCATCCTCAACTGCTTTCCTGGCCTTCTTGCTTTGTGACAGCAAACCTCTGGAGCCCACCGTATGTTACTCAGATCTCACGCCAGAAAACTGGGGTCACCTAGAGTGTGTTCCTCCCTGTCACTCTCCTGCCTGTCCTGGAAACCATTGGAGAACTGGAACCTTTCCAAGGCCCCTTCCCTAGGCCCCTGCCAGCGGCCAGCCCTGTGACCAGGCCTCATGGCCCACCCCAGGGCCCTGCTCCTCCCCTCCCCGCCTCTCCCCCTGCAGCCAGGAAGGCACCCCAAAGAGGCCCCTTCAGCAGCGATCTTCTTGCTCTCCACACAGACTCTCCACACAGACTCTCCTCCACACCTCCCGGCCTCCCGGCCTGTCCTGGGGTTCTCTCTGCACCCTGGCTTCTGGGTCCCTCCAGGCACTTCCACTTTCTCACCATGCAAGCCCCACTGGCTCAGGTGACTCCAAACTCCTACAACTTGTCCAGTTCGGCCTGAAAAGTCCTCTTCAGAAAAGCCTCTGTGTCCAGGTGAATGATGTCCTCCTGACCACGCCTCTGGACCACAACTGGAGGCCAATTCAGGTGCATGATTACGTAGTGGGAGGTGTAGGGACAAGTGGTATCCAATTCTAGTTCTCAGTACTTCTGTGTGGACAGCTGCTACAGCTACCTGAAACTTCTCCTGGGCTTTAGACAAACCAAGAAGTCCTGCTTCTGGACAGCAGTGACAGGGCCCAGGGGGGGTGGGGGCGGGGCCCCTGAGCTGGCGTGGGGAGTCACTCCCGCCCTGAGCCGACTGTCCAGCCCCAGGACGCTGGTGGAGGCGTCCGGGAGGGCGGCAGGGAGCCGGGGCTGGGCAGCACCGTCTCCTGGCGGCGGGTGGGCTGCTCGCTGTCGGACTACAAAAAGGCGTGGACACAGCTGTGAAGGCAGTCTCCAGACAGCGGGCTGTCCACCTGCGCAGGCCCCGCAGAGTCCGTGCCCGTCTCTGCCTTCCTGGCCCGAGCGCCCGTCTCTGGCTACAGTAGGCTGTTCCTAATTTAAAACGTAGTTTTGATGCCAAAACCGCACCTCGTTTTCGAAAGCACGCAGGTTCAGTGGACAAGGACCGCCACGTAGGATGGCACCATGGGTCAAGGCCATATGGGCTCCTCGTCAAGGGCAACAAGCCCTGCCTGCTGTGACGGACTTGAGTCCTGGAAGCCGGGGCACTTGCACTGCGGGCTTTAATTGCATTTTCTCTTAAGACACCAGATTGTAATTTTATAGGAATTGAAGAAAAATTCATGAATATTCTGACAAAGAAGAAACTACCTAACATATTCCTTCGACCTCAAACTAAAATACAACTTTAATTACTAACTCTAGCTATAAAGTCACCTTTTGGGTCCTCAGCCTACACAGAAGGGCACCTGCATAAACTGGCAAGGGGCGCTTGCCCGCTGGTGTCTGCACGATGCCTCCGGGCCTGCGCGTGGTGTGAAAGCCGTGCGTGGTCACTGCTACCTTTCTGTCCGGCTGTTATTAAAGCGTCTTTTCCCGCTGAGTGGTCTCCTCGGTCGCACACCAAGCGCTTCAATGCACACTGTAGCCTGGTATAAGACACACTAATTCTGTACCAGTTTTAGCCCAGAATCCTGGCTTTCAACCCCCGCCCCCATAAAAATAAATTATCTATTCAATATACTTTAACTCTTAAAAATCACCTACAAATGGAATTCAGCGCAAAAGGGCTCAAAAAGTAGCCATCCATGTTGTAAAGAAAGCTAAACGGAACCCACAGCTATCAAATCCAGCAGAAACTTAAAAAAAAAAAAATACTACGTGACACAAGCCCAAGAATACTTCTGGTGCCCCAGCTGTTTGCACGTGGTATTAAGCCTTTCTGCCTTGAAGCTAATTTGCCAGGAGTGATCGCGTGAACTGCACAGCTGGTACAGGACTGTGGGTTGGGGACAGGAACAGGGGCCAGTTGGTGTGCACAGCTTCTTATTCAGAGTCAAACCCTACTGCCCGCTTTCGAAAGGGATCATGGTCACAGTCACTGGTCCAGCCCAAGTCTCTGAACTTTTGCCTCAGTTTCACGAGTGGCCGGAGAGGGGCTGGGGTCCTGACGCTGGCAAACTTTGGACCTGATGTCTCGAGTCAACCCCAAGTCCACACCCTCCCAATACATGACACAAGACCAAAATTGCTACTAGTAGGTGAAGCTGATTCAAGCAAAGGACAGACAAGGGAAAGGACGACTTCCCTAAGAGAAACAGCCCCTAAGTTAAGTCTGGTAGCTACATTTACTCATCTACAGAAAGAATAGATAACATATATTTACTCATTAAGTCATCTTTAACTGGTACTAAGACAAAGTATCAGATATGAAGGTTTTACCTTTAAGTATCCAAGAGCGGATAACTGCAACATAATAAGGTGGCCTGCCTTCCTCAGGGAATGTGATAACACTGCGCCCACAATGTACAGAGCAATGCTTCAGAAATTCAAACTTACTGTAATTAAAACTCGATATAAACTAATATCAATTTTCTTATTTGTAACACATAGATCTGGCTTAAATGACTTAAAGATTGCTTGTTTTTAATCTTGAAAACAAAAGCAACAATCAACAGTGCTTCTTGAGAAAATCTTTGCTTTTATAGACCAGAAATAATGTGTACAATCAAAAGGAAAGTGATCACGTGTACTGACGGCCAACAACTGAAGCCTCTCTACTCTCACTCCAGGGTGTCTCGTGGGAACAGGCTGCGAAAGTGACACTCCTCACCCTCACGGCATCAGTATCGGCAGGTGTGTCTGCGACCCCGTGGGCATCAGGAGGCTGCCTGGGCTGAGGAGCACCGACCGGGTCGCTGGCTCGCAGCGCAGCTGAGACGCAGCCCTCTCTCTGGGAACAGACATCACGGAAGGAGCTTCCCCTGTATGAGTAACTCTTACCAAGTATCAGTTTCAGAACTTCACAGAAATCTTAAGCTTTCCATACATAATGTCAGCCAAAAAAGAATTCTAAGAGAAAACTCAGAATTTGAACTTCATCAAAACCTACAGGTGACTTGCCCATCAGGACATTTTCTTAAAATATTTAAGACTGTTTCACACACACACACACACACACACACACACACACACAAATCACCTCATAGAAGGTGAGATTAAAAACTTCTGACAGGAGGCCCTTCCTGGTGGCGCAGCGGGACGCAGCAATGCAAGATGGCCTTAGCGCTTCAGTGCGAGTTGGGTCCCCAGCCAGGGAGTGACCCACAGGGCGTGGCAGACCTCTCCTGTCTCCTAGCTGCCTCTCTCAGCAGTGTACTTCATCAATCTGCCTGTTCTGTTCCCCACTCTGTCTCTGGGGAGTCCTCTCAGCACCCCTCCACCTCTGGCCTGTACCCCAGTTCTAGAAATATGCATGAACAATTAAGTCTAAAAAAAAAACCTTCTGACAGGACCATGGAAGAGCACTTAGCACAGAGGTGCACAGCACAGAGGGCGCGTGACTGTCAAAGACGCCCTCAGCAAACGTGGTGCAGACAGGTAAGCGAGGCCGTCACGCCGCTCAGTTAGGCGAGGCTGGTGAACCCAACTGGGTGTGCAAGATGGGACAGAACCAGAACACAACTGCTCTGGCTGGAAATAATTTTAAAAATTCCATCCTACCTTCCACTACTTTTTTTTTTTTTCAGAGCACTTCCGTGGTCTGTGCCTACAGCATAAAAATGGTAAAAACAGGGATCTTCCCCTGCTCAGCACCCCTGCTGCTGCGGAAGGCGAGCAGAGAGGCCGGGCTGTGTCAAAGCCGTGGGGCCACTGCACGGGGGTTCAGTGGGCGCTACGCCCTCCATTCCGAGCCCATGGCCTGTGTGAACATGCCCCTAAAATCCTGACTAATGAGAGGCTGAAACAAACAGGCAACTTCAATAGAAGATGAGGCAGAACAACTAGCCCCTGGGCAGCCTCAGGCGGCCACCCCCGGGGCAGTCCCGGCAGCCAGGTCTCTCACCAACAAGAAAGCCCTCCACAGAACGCACAGTACCAGCGGCCTGCCTCTCCCACAGGGCAAACGACCCCACGTGACCAGCGTTTGCAGGGACCTCCAAGAGGTGGGGTGAAGGCGGCCCTCCCCAGGGCGAAGCCTTGGGTCTGCAGCGCTGCACCAACGCCCAGAGCAGGCGTGGCCGCGCGGGGGCACTCGCGGCCTTGGCCAGGACAGTTTCATTCCTGGCTCTTTCAAAATGTGCTCCAGAGCCACTGAAGGAGAGCACTCCGCGAGCGAGGCCAGCAAAGCCACATCCTCCGCTTCCCCTCCGCAGGCGTGTCTGGAGTTCCTCTCTCCTTCACCCACAGCTTTGGTCCCGAGCTTCCCTCCTCCGCACACATGCTGCCTTGCACTGTCCGACGTCACGCGCCTGCGACATGCCAGCACGTAAACCAAACCTAAGAGGCTGTGAAGATCCTGGCTCAGATAAAACACTAAGGTTCATCTCGTCTGCTTTTTCCTTTTCAGTAGTACTACTAGGAAACTTGAGAGACGCGAGCCTTGCATTTTACTCCCACCGGCCAGCCTACCTCCCGACTCAGAGCCCAGGTAACAGGGGCTACCACTGAGCACAGCAAATCTCAAAGCCCCGGAGCAGACGCGCCTCCCGCAGGCTGGGCCGGGCTGCACGCAGCTTGGGGATTCAAGAGCGCCAATTTTCACACTGAAATGAAGTTCAGTTCAGTGTTCTCCTGACAGTACAATCCCCAAGTTAGATGAACAAGGTATTACTGCTGCTATAGACTTTAATCACCAAAAGCCACTTAAATCATGAGACTTAAAGTTCCGCATTCCCGGGTGACCGAACACCTGGCGGCCGCGTCCGTCATTCCCCCCACAACACCCCCCCCACCAGCCAGCGCCCCTGTGCTTCGCCCGTCCCAAGGAGCCCCATTTAAGCTGCACCGAGCTTTCCCTGACGGGCAGACCCACACTCCTCAAGAGCATGCCGGGAAGAGCTGCCTTGGTTCCCTGAGGAGCAACGGCACAATCCAAGACTTCAGGAAACTCTCGGATTCAGGCCCAACCTGAAATAACCCGTTAGAAGAAAGGAACAGAGAAATCAAAATGAGGAACTGCCCAGCAGAAAAAGTCCAAATACAATGACTGCCCACAGACAACCACATCAGAAAAGAACAACAAAGGTTAGTTACAACAGACCCAGATGTCACTGCTGCTTCTTGAAGCTCTACCCTTGCCGGGGCACAAAACTAAACATTCTGTAAATGTTGTCAGAGCGCCCGTCAAACAGAGGACGTCTGCACGCCCCGACGAGGTGGGAGAGCGAGTAAGCCCGCTACGGCGCCCCCTGTCATGGCTCCCAGGGCTTCTCGTCCGCGTCAGAGGCAGGAGTCCCTGCGCCCAAGTTCCTCCTGATGACAGAGAACAAACAGCCTCCCACCAAGGATGCCTGCACCCTATTTACGGAACGCCTCACATCCTCCCAGCCACCACTGACAACCGCCCTACCTGCTTGGACCGAGGCCGACCAGGAGAAAATTTCCTTTTGGTGATGGCGGGCTTGCCCATGCCAATTTTTGGAGTCACGGAGATGTAGGTCGTGGACGCGATGCCCGCCCCGGACGCGCCAAGGGCTGAGGGGAGGCCGGGCAGCACGTCGGGCGGCGGCGGGTCCGAGCAGGCCGGTGGCGAGGAGGGCGCAGCAGCCTTGCTGGCGTCGGCCGCGGAGGGGAAGGCCGCCTCAGACTCAGAGGGCAGCCGGACGGCGCTGTCATCCTGGCACAGGCCCTCACCGCCCCCACGCTCAGCCGCGGAGGCCACCTCCGAGTCCACGCGCGCAGAGGAAGATTCGGACGCGTCCTGCTGCTCCGTGGTCCCCTGCGCCCTTTCCACAGCCAGCTGGCCCTTGGAACACAGGGAAGTACTCTCCTCGCATGGGGACACCAAGGCCTCAGACAGGATGGTGACGGGGGCCACGGGCGCCCCGGGAGGCCTCGACTCCTGCGCAGGCACGGCCATCTCCAGGTCCACCGGGCTAGCCTCCAGCACGGGGGGCTGGGGGGCTGGGGCTGCGGCCAGGGCCAGCACGTCCACTCTGTTCTCACTTCCATCTTCTTCACAGACAGCTATCGCTTTAGGGGATACTTCTACTTTTTCAGTATCAACTTCATGAGAAATCTGATTTTCCAATTCAGGCTTCGTTTTGTCTTGGGACGAGTCTACAAAATTTGCAATATTTGTTACATTAACGGACACATGGTTTAAAATCTCCACCTCTGAGCTGGTAAAAACATGCACCTCTTTGAGGTGTACAGCTCTATGACCGGAAGAGAGGAGAGTTGGGCAGGAAAAGTGGAGGGTGGGAGGGTAAAGGCTTCCTCAAGGCCTTAGGCTAAACCACAACTTACATCAGAGGGTGTGGTCAAGGAGGGGATGGGGTGGTCAAGGCAAGAAAAGGTGCCAACACACAGAATCGGTGGGTTGCAGGCCAGGAAACTTTTGAAAAGAGCTTCAGAGATTAAGGCAAATTCTGGTGTGAACACTGAATACTGTTCAATTAACTTCAAGGGATCCTATTAGACATATATATTTTACAATGCGAACACTCACAAGAGGATTTACAATTCTGTAGGTAAAGTCATACTCATTTTACAGCTAGGAAAAAGGCTCCATGGCGTGCCACGAGGTGCCCGAGCTAAAGCACGAAGACAGTTCAGACAGAAGCCAGTGCGCGGGAGCCGCAGCCTGCAGACTCCCACGAGTGAGGACCTGGGCCAGAAAGGCCCCTCAGCAGACCTGCCAACACACCCGGGGCGTGCGGGTTTTCTGGGTGAGCCCTGTCTACTTCTTCGTCTACAGCCAGAGGTGCTGAGCTCGCGTGGGCAGGCACCAGCAGCTGGCAGAAAGAGCCACCAGCGATAGTTAAACGGAGGCCCGGGCTGAAGAAGCCTTCATCCCAGACCCACCTGGAGTGAGCCTGCTCCACGCAGCAGCCTGAGGGTGAAAGGCATGACTGCAAGTGCCATGAAGGTGCTTCTGAGCTAGAGTTAAGAGACAAATTTCCTACTTTAGTATTTACCACCATGACTGAACTTTATCTTCAGATGTCAAAGCACATGTCACGTCTCATTCCTACTTTACTGAAAGCTGATTGCAACTGAGGCAAGGGGGGGCTGAATAACAGGTCAGCTCGTACTGAATACTGTAAACTGAAAACTCTTCAAACACACTTAATATTAAATAGGAGGTGATAAAAGATGAAAGCAAACGCGTTTATGGGTTTAAAAGCACAAGCGCCAGCCGCGGGGAGATGCCAGCGGCCTGCGGGAGGGGCAGCCTGGCCAGTTCAGCCTCCGTCTGGCGATCCCGCCCAGTTAAGAATGAGCACCTAATTCAGCGACCCCCCCAGAGAACCTGCCCACCCTCACAAACCCATTTCGTTTCAAGAAAAGGATCATCATAAGGGGAAGAGAGCGGGGCTGCATGGGGTGAGCAACTCTGGACAGGAAGGCTGCGGGGCAGGACGGGAGGAAGCACCTTACCGGGAGGGAGCAGCTCCCGCGTCTCCAGGCTCTGTGGTGGGTGGTTCTGCACCCCGGGGTGGGCCCCAGCCGCTGCAAACGAAACATTAGGGACCCTAGTGGGGTGCGCAGGTCCTCACGCGCAGCCAGCAGCACTAAGCCAGAGCTGCCCCTATGGCCGCACGCCCACTCCCCACACTAGGACGCTCTGGCAGAAGATGCAAGTAGGGTTGAGATCACACACCAGTGTACGATGACAAAGTTCTCATTTTCATGCAGTGAAAAAGAGTTGTCTACCAACTTAATCTCAAAAAATCTCCAAGGCTTCTGACATGCTTGCTGAGCCCGCCCGAAACGAGCTCAGCAGCCGCCGGAAATGCTGCACGGGAAGCCCAGGGACCCGCCCACCACTGGCTCCCGCGTGCACCGGCAGGAGCCCCAGCTCCTCCGCCTCCAACTTACACTTCAGAGTGACAAGCAACGGAAATTTTGTTCCTGAGCTCAGAATGAGTTTTTGTTGATTAAGCCAGTGATGACTCCGTCCTAATGAGGGTCAGTATGCTATGCCTCTGATCACAGAAGCACACAAACTGTAAAGGGCCCATGACACTCCCAGCACTGACCAATCACATGCATTCCCTCTTTCACCCACTCGCTTTTCTCAGCTCAGGGCCGGGGCCAGGCACTGAGGTGCGCCGGTGAAGCTAACACACACATCATCGTGAGGACGTGGGGGCGATGGAGAACCCAGAGAAGTCCACGGCAGCGCATGTGAAGTCCATGCCAGTGGGCCGAGTGGGTGGGAATTCACTTCTTTCCTCACCAGTGATAAAATGAAGCAACACTGAGCCAATGTTATTCTAAAACCTGCCATGTGCTCTGCATACATCAGTGTAACCGTGTCCCACACAGCCCCACAAGCGCTCAGAGGGCCCAAGATTAAGCTTAGTGAGTAGTTTTTCCAACCCGGCTCGTCATTAATTTCAACTCCTCAGGGAGAGTAATAGCTGTTATCAATGTCGTTAAAAGCTTAATTGAAATATCATTGAAATAAATCAAGTAACCCTCAACAGGACTGCTGAGACGGCCAAACAATACATTTTATTCTCTCAGCGTGAAAACACCTCATAATCAGCCAACAGCTCTAGTTAGTGATTACAAGGAGATTGGGGAAGAAAAAGCAAATTGCTTTTTAATGAAAAATCACTCCACCCCTAAACAAAGTGTATGTTTGTGACCCAACTTCACCAACAGGGACACACACCCAACCCCTACTCGTTCTGCTTTGGGTCATTTTACTAAACGGTCTCTAACATCGTGGCTAAATCTAATTTGAGCTACTGAATTTCTTTTGTAGATATTCACACGTTCACACTACACATTTCCCCCAGAAAAATGGACAGTGGCCATCATCAAGGGCACTCTTACCATCTGGAACAATTCCAGGTGTGAACTCCTGGCCCGTGGTGTCTTCGTCAACCGCTGGCTCCAGAAACACCACATGGCCCTCGGGTCCTTCAACCTCCATCGCATGGTTGTAATCTTAGCAGAAAATTTACTCTTAGCACAGAATGAACTTTTCTGTTCTTGCTAACTAAGTCCACAGTTATTACTTTATTCTACTGAAAGCAAATTCTCACCCAAGACACTTTTTTCTTCATATTTTTTAACTTTGAACCAAAAATACATTTACATTTTTAAAAATACAGAAAACGTAATGAAGCGAGGGTAACGGGCACTCTGGTATTTGAAAAGGTATTTCCCAGCTGTGCGGTGCCAGCATCCTGGACACACAGGGTCGTCATGGTGACACGGCCTCTATGCCTCCTCCTGGAGACAAAACAGGGTTTTTACAGAAGCCGCTGTCCACAGAAGATGCTGGAACTAATCTGGTGAGCTGGCCTGGTCCTCCCCACCCGAGAACTCTGCTCTTGGCAGTACACTACTAAAAGTAGTCTGCATCAGAGCCAAATGTTGGGCTCAAGAGGTGAGAATTAACATTTAAGAAAGACATTATAGATGAAACTTGCTGGGAGTAAAATGACCCAAATTAAGGATCCAAGTGAGGCTCTAGGCCCAGCACTGAGGAGTTGCTGCTGCTGGCTCAGAACACAGAACCGGAAGGAAGCAAGCGTGTTGGGCCTGCGTGTGCCAAGAAGCCGCCAGCGGGCTGGAGAAGCCGCGCGCACCTGCGCCGTGGGGCTGAGAAGGAGTAAGCAGGTCTGGGCCGGGCGCTCTGTCACTGCCGCGAGTGCTGAGGACGGCTGGTGTGCAGCGCAACACAACACTGATCGGGCTCACCTGTGGGGAGCTCGGCCATCTCCACCTCGTCATCTGGCTGCAGCGGCTGCATCTCTGCGGCCAGGTGTCTGCAGTACACACAGACATACAGATCCCTGGGCTGGGCATCCAGCTCGTGGTCTGCTGTCCGGTCACATTCTAAGTGAATCCACCTGCAGTGAAAGGTAGGTTCAAATAAAAATTTCTATTTTAATACCAAGTTAATACCTTGGGGAAAGAGGTAACTGCTATAAGAACTGAGCAGAGAGGGGTAAAAGATGACAGAGGGGTTCCAGAGGTTGGCACTGGTGAACATTCTGGAAATGAGCTGGCACTTTTGGTGTCATCTGTAGTGTTGACATGTTTTCCTCCATATTTTAAAGCCACTCCCTCTCCCGGTGCTCTTCAGACGCAGAAGCCCACCTCTGCCCCAGCACAGCCCCGCCCGCGGGGCGGGCACGGAGGTGGGCGGGTTGCGGGGTGGCACTCACCTCTTGCACAGGTGGCAATGAAGCATGTCCTGCTGCAGGTCCGGGCGGAGGCACTTGCCGCAGAGCGGACACCGGTCTCCCTGCTGCTGGTAGCAGCTGTCGCACACCAGGCAATTGTGGTGCCACTGAGGGCTGGACCGCACCCCACACTCGACACACACGCGGCAGTTCTAGACGGCAAGACAGGGACAGAAATGCACGTCACGCACCTGACTGCGTCCTGAGAGCTTCGGAATCACGTGCATCGAGGCTTTCATTTTGGGGACGCTTATTTAGATTATGTGCTTCTGAAAAAGCGGTTTGTTTTGAACATCATCGACACTCAATTCGCACTAAAACCTCCTGGGGAAATGTAAACAGGGCTGCAGACACCCAGGAAAACAAATAGGGAAGAAAGAAAAGCAGGAACAGAGCAACACACACTTCCAAAGCACAGTCAGGACGGAGAAGCAGCCGGCATGGAACAGGCCAACTCCAACCTCGCGGAAAGCCCCGGGCGGAAGCTGCCCCACGGCTACGCTGTGGGTGCCTATGCCCAAGAACCCACAGGGAGGCAGCCGCACTTGCATGCGGAACTGTGACCACGCCCACCCCATGTCAAAATGCAAGTGTGGCTGCTCAGGGCAGGCCAGGGTGCAGAGCGGCGGGGACAGCAGCAAGAGGGGCGCTCCCTGCTGAGACCAGCTCCCGGCGGCTCCCAGCGGCTCTCGTGGCCACTTCTCTGTCCCAGGGAAAAAGCCAGCAAGAGAAGGCACGTGAGTCAGTTCGATGGGAAAGAGGTGCTTGCCCAAAGAGACACAGCTCACACCTTCCAGATTCAAAGCAAACATGCTCATACCCATGCCAACACCCTAAATAATTAGCAAACAGCCTCCCAAACAAACTAGGAATAGAATACGAAATCTATGATTCATCTACAATAGATGTCCAAGTTGAGTTTTTCTAAGAAACTTCAGCATGGTTAAGCTGAAAGTCTATTACAATTAACCCTATCAGCAGGCTGGAGGAGGGAAGACTACAGTGAGCGCAACGCCCACCCTAACAGCCACCGCCGGGGAGGGGCGCCATGAGGGCCCAGCAGCTCTGCTGTGGCATGGTCCCCACCAGGAGAGTAGAGAGAAACAAACCCCAAGCCCTGAGTCTGGCGTCAAGTAAATGGGGCAAGATTGTCTTTTTTTTTTTAAGATTTATTTATTTATTCATATGGAACTGGGGTACAAGCCAGAGATGTGGAGGGTGAGAGGATTCACCAGAGACAGAGAGGGGAGCAGAACAGACAGATCGTCTCCAAGGGGAGCAGTGGCCAGTTCAGGAGAGGTCTGCCGCGCCCTGTGGTCACCTCAGGGGCAGGTGGGGATCGAACTCAAGCGGAAGTGGCTTTAGCATCTTAGTGCTGTGCTTTAACCAGCTGCACCACCAGGGAGGGCCCAAGATCATCTTTTTGTGAGCAGTTTGGACAACGGCACAGCCAGCTGGGAAAGGTTCTTCACCCCATACACAAGCAGCAGCCCTAAGCAGATTTGCTCACACAGGAAAAATCAGCCCTTGCAGATGGTGTAAGATCTAAGCCCTCCTGAAACCTCGGCATTGGGGGCTTTCAAATTTTAAGTAAAAATATCCAGAAGCAATGGAATGAGTTGTCTGGCTACATACGCTTTGCAAGACAGAAAGATAACACTGGCACGTGACCAAGGCGAAGAACACATAAAGCTCGCAGGCCACCGGAAGGGCTGCCCACAGCCCGGGTATCAGACTCGTACAGGGGCAGTCACACACCGGAGCAGAACACGCACCGCAGGAAGGCTGGCCCTTGGAGGACTAGCTTTAGCCCACAGAGAACTAGACACGAGGTGTCTTATTTTCCACCCCCGGAGAGGCAACAATTCACGGCTAAACAGGACACGAGTGGGATGCGGGGCGTTCTCTCAGACACCACGGGTGCGGGGCTGGGCACCCGGTCCTGTCCAGGGGAGCCTGCCTCTCGATCCCAACTGCAGATGCATGCACCCCAAGCCCGCAGCCCACAGCCCACTTCAGGGGTGTGTGCCCAATCCAACGGCGCCATCACTGCTGGCTACAGGACACCTTCCCGGCAAGCGACCCAAGCAGGGACCTGGAGGAGAAGCCGGTGCCGAGGTGCAGCCAGCAGCTGTCTTTAAAGTAGCAAAGGACGAGTGAAGAAGGCTTCTGCGAACTACTGAGTGACTTCAGACTTTGTTAAGAGAAAAAAGAGCCAGTACAATACACTGCTGGGCAAGGGAAACAAACAAATGCTTCGCGCTGCAGAAAAATTCTGAAGAACAAGTAGGCAAAGGAGCTCTTGTTAGTTCTGTAAGTGGCTTTCTCGTAACCTCTGAAAGCATGTCCTTTCCCTACATGGTGAAACAGTATCAGAAAGGGGATAAAACCCAGGCTGGGACCCAGGATTCTCCCCACCCAAGTGGGGTGGGGGGGGCAGGGCTGGAGGAGCCATGTGACATGTGCAGGGCGGAACCTGAGCTGGAGCGCCAGCTGCTGGGCAGCCTTCAGGAGAGTAACAGGCCTCCGGCCAGCACTGCCACTGTGGGCGGGCCAGCAGGAAGGGGGGCGGAGTGAGCGGGGAAGCCTCCCCTCACACCCAGCAGGAGACACACACACCGGCAATGCCCCTAGAGTCTGGAGGGGAGTTCAGGGGAGCGAGAGAGTTACTGGGCCCTAAAGTGCCTCCTCGGCACTGTTTTACTAGATACACCTGAAGAGAATGAACCAGGTTGAAGACCAGGTAATGAGAACTGGCACCACCTGAGGGAGGTAACAGCCCAAATCACAGACATGTGGGGCCTGTACCTGGGGGTGGGGGCCTGGTGGGTGGGGACTGTAATGAACCTGTTCAAAAAGACAAAACAGCACTTAGGTGTCAAGAGACAGGACAAGGAAATGGACAGTCCCACCCCAGACTAGATCCAGGAAGCTCAGGGAAGGGGCAACATGCCAATGGTGACAGAAACAGACACGGCCGGGTAAACCGCGTAACCGCGCAGCATTGCTGGGAACGGGAAGCCGTAGCAAGCCTTCTGCTGAGGAACAGGCGGGAGCGCCTGGTTCCGCTCGGGTCTCAGTGAAGCCCAGCGCCTGCGAGTCAGTACTTTGAACGTTATCTCCATGAGGAAAACCAGCTGGAGAATGCGCAAGGCTTTGCCACAGACCCTGAACAGAACCTGGAGAAACTGGGCTGGGCCTTCAAGCTTATCTTTAGCCCACACCCTAATAAGCCAAGAAATTAAACAAAAACGCAGCAGCCCGCGGAGTGTCCGCAGCTCCTGCCCATCTGTGAGGGCGCGGAGAGCAGCGAGGGCTCCAGACGCGCCGGCCGGGGCTCGCGGAAGACACTCGAGAACAAGCCAGGAATTCCGGGGGCATCCTCAAAGGAAAGGAAAACCGGGGGGATGGTAATGAAGAGTCTCAAACAAAAATCGTCTCAGTGTTATTAAAAATTACTGCGGTCTTTAAGTAAGGTGTTTTGTTTCTTTGTTTTGTTTTTTAAACTAAAGGCAAACGGTAAGTAACACCTCTCCAGGCCTGTCCGTGGCCTGGCTGCAGCCTGCCAGTGGCTCAGGAGTGACAGGCAGCAGTTACCACAGAACCAAGACCTTGTCCTGTGAGCAAACCCAAAGAATGGCAACAACAAAAGAATTTCAAAATCTTTCAAGCAGAAAAAGACTAAACTTTCATTTTTCTTGCATGGTACAGTGATCCAGGAAAACTGAAATAAATAAATAAACCTATGCAGAATACTCACAACACAAACTATACCAAGTTACTGTGAGCGAAGACAACAATCTTTCAGATAGGGCTTCAGAAAATTGCTAATTCTTTTAATAGGAGACTCAAGACCCAAGACTCAAAAAAACTGGGGTTAAATGAGGTTGCAATTAGGAGGAAATCAATTGTCTGCAAAAATAGGGGTAGTTTATGGTCTGTGGTAATTTTACTAATCAAGACAAAGACAAAATCCCGTTTCTTAGTTTTCAGTTGGAAATGAGGGAGGGAAAGTATTTTCAACACTACAACAACATTCTTAAAATAAGGTTCTGAATTGCAAATCATTGCAGGAAATAAAGGGAACAGAAAGGTAACTCAAAGAAGAAGTTTGCACTAAAGCAACTTGTCAGGCATTTCAATGACAACCATTATTCCAACAGTTAACTCCATTAAGCTGCTCTCAAAAGATACATTTAAAATGACTCTTCAGGCTCCAAAATAAAAACAAAAATGTGAAAAGCTCACATTCACCTGGCAAACTAAAGCCCTATGTGGCCACATTGTAAGGCAAAGCGAAGACCTGGTCCAAAAGACAGGCAGGGTTACACAGGATAAAGCAGCTTTATACTAACACAAAGCACATTATATGGACACCCAGCCTCTCCAAACATCAATAATGACTTCAATAAAAAGCAAGACACAAAAGGAAACCCACATGAAAATTACAGCGGTCACTTTAGCGACACTAAGACGTGGTCCAAAGAACTCGCGAAAAACTAAGGGATAAGAACCCGATCTCAAATTAAAATTAGTCAGCCACTACTTCAAGTACCAAACTTTGTCAGGAAGAAGACAACAGAAGTAAAGCAAAGTGAGCAAGTTTAAGGGCAACCTTGAAAGGAGCTACGGTGGTAGAGGTCAGAGGTACACGGGCATAAAGTTACAAATACAAGTCGGGGTGCATCCAAAGCCACCCACAAACAGTAAATTTATAGCCGTCAATGTCCTTCTACTCCTAGGAAGCGTAGAAATTACGAACCCAACGTCCTATTTCAGGAATGCAAACAGACTGCCAGGCCACAGGAGCGGAGACCAGTTCCGAGCGCGCGCAGCCGCCCGGCACGGCGTCTCCCCAGCGCGGCGCGGCCCCGCCCCCGCTCACACCTGGGGGCGGTTACGCGGCGGCCCGCGAGGCCCCACCCCCACCAGGTGAAGCGATGGAAGTTGGTCCCGCCCCCACCGCGAGGGCCCACCGACCACCAGGTGTGGCGCCAGGCCGTGGGGGGAGAGGGGAGGTGGGGGGGGTGGGGTGCTGGCCCCACCTGGGGAAGCCAAGGGCCCAGCCCCTGGCAAAGGGCAGGGGCCAGGGCCGGGGGGCCAGGAGGTGGGCAGTCACGCCCCAAGGGGCTAAGGGGCTATTCTTGAGGCCAGGAGTTAACTCAGAATTGGACATTAATCACAGAAACCTGATCTGAAAACATGAAATTTAACCTCGAGGGTGCCCTCGTGCAGACTTCAATGCCTGCAGCCACTGTTTGTGCTCCTGATGATGTTAGTTAGTCCCTCCTGCACTCGGACAGACAGGTGGAAGACTGGAGACTGTACAAAGGGTAATCCTAGTGGCTCGGGGCAGAAGCCTCAGCACCAGCAGCTGAGTGCGGTGCAGCAGGAGCTCATAATGAGGTGTGAAGGCTGGGGAACCATGGCTGAGGCCCTAACTCATTAGGGGCGCCCATTAACAACAACTCAGGTGCAAGGGCTCCTTTGAAATCTTTTTGTTCTGAGCTCCTCAACACTACTAGCAATAGTTTTTATACAAACACTGATAAAAAATAGCCTTCTCTATACATCATTATTAAAAGTCAAAGAAAAGATTTCACACTGACTCCACTGAGAAAATATTTTTGTTTCCTCCAATTTGGATTTACTTTCAAAGAAAACTGACTTGTTAGATTAAGTATTCACTTTTAAATTCTGTTTATTTTTAGTCAGTATATTTATCGTGGATAAAAGAATGTATGCCTAGTTCAAGTCCAGTTTATAAGACAGGATTTCAAAAGCTATGATTCCCCACAAAGGGCATACAGAGATGGCCCTGGGTGAGGAGCTGTGTCTCAAGACCCTCGCCCTAGAAAGAAATGACAGTCACGGCATGAAATACCCCTCTGCCAGTGCTGACAGAAAAGCTTGCTGGGGAGCACGCGCGCCCAGGGCAGTGGCCTGAGCTTGGGTCCTGAGTCACTTCTGTCAGTGCTTGTCTCACCACGGAGCCCTAGTCGGCGCTCCATCTGAGTTTACTAGTTTACTACGCAGGTGTCAAAGCAGCATGTGCCCTCACTGGCAGCTCCTGAGCATGCCCAGAAAGTCCAAGCACACACAGCCGTGAACACGTCCCCTCAGAAAAAGGCTGCATTTGGTCACTGGAGAAGCACAGACAAACCTCAGTTATCCGATCTTCTACCTGCATTTAAGAATTAAAATTGTGTTTCCATGGACAGATGCTATCACATTCACTGTTCTTTACTTGGATCTGCACCACCTGTGCCCAATGTACCGAGGGCAGAGCTACTGGCAAATGGGGGTAGGGGGGTGTTGGGGGCTGGAGAGACCAGCACTGCACCCAGGGGTCAGGAGATGAGTCCAAAACCTGACAGGGAGGGCTGAGACTAATGGAACAGCCAGGAAAAAGTTAAAAGTAACTGCAGAGTCATTGTAAAGGCTGCTATTTTGCTTAAGCAATGAAAAAGAAGTCTGTAGATCTTGTCTAATGCTTAAAAACAAGAGCAACTTTAAAATATCTAAGTTGATAGTCACAAAAGTTACAGAGGAGATACAACACACGCACACTGGTTCCAAACGTTTAATACAACAATATACAGAAACGGGCACACGTAAATGTACATACATGTAAAGTCACCTACGAGCAATGTGATGTGTTTCATCTCTGCATTTTAAATAAATTCAGAAATCTACCTCTGTCTGTTTCAGTCTCCTCACTGGGGATACTATTCCAGAGCGTTTCAGGCATGACTTAAGATAAATCAGACAGACAGTTGCTGAGCCGCAAGCACCACACTTAAGTCAGCTGATGGTTCACAGCAGCATTTTTTATAATGGCCTGCAACTATAAACAACCCCAAAGTTCAACAGTAATTCTCCACTGGGCAATGAAAAGGTCTCACACTGTTGGCAGGCACAGGTACACAGGTAATAGGGTGAGTCTCAGCAAAGCTGCGGCGAAAATTAGAACAGAGAGAAAAGCACGTGCTACGTACGAGACATTTATATGAAACTCCAGTAAAGGCAAAGTAATCTATGTTGAGAGAAGCAGCTTCAGGGTGGGAGAGGGAAAGGGAGATAGAAGGGAAGGGAGGGGGAAGAGCTGGGTAGAAGGGGAGGGAGAGCGGGAGAGGGAGGGGTGGGGAGAGAGCTGTGCAGAAGGAGTGATTCCCAGGGGACTTGGGCAGGGTCTCTTTGTTAGGGGTGATGATGGCTCTGCACGTGCTCGTGTGTTAAGTTACGTTACAGGCCTAAGTGTCTGAGTGTCCTGTTCATCACTTCTACAAAGCTGTTTTGTAGAGCTGATGGCAAGGCGGATTCAAACAGGCCACCGACTGGTCTGCTCCACAGGAGAACCAGACAGAAAATATTTTTGGGACTTACCTTGCACTTCCAGCCGTTGGTGGGCACTGACTTCATGACTGGCTGAAGACAGAAAGTGTGATAGCCTTTGTCGCACGTGTCACATACTAGCATCTTGCTGTCCTCTCCCGATTGTCTGAAAAACCAGATCGCGTCAATGATGCCTCGCCTCCCAACTTTGTACCACAAGTGATCATGAAAGGAACTGGCTCTGGGGGCTACCTGGCTCACAAATACCTCAGCGGCTGAGGTGTCCAGGCACAGCTAATGAAAGAAGCACCCGCAGGGGCTGAGGACAGCTCCCAAGGGCCCCGGCAAGTTCCCCTTACTGAATGCTGACCTGGCTTTAGTCTTTGGGGTTCCAACAAGGAAGGAGGGGTTAAGGCGAGAGGAATGACTGGTCTTGCACACGCCTCCTGCCCAACCTTCCTCACACGAAAGCACTACCGCGGACAGCAAGGATGCTGTGTGTGCTAAGACCGAGCCTCGGCTCCTGCTCAAACTGCTGTTTCTCCAGCGTGGCGTCTAGCTTAGTCTTGAGTTTCCAGGTGTGAAATGGGGGTGTAATTAAAGATCACTGGGAGAACGAAATATGATCCTAGTTGAAGAGCTCAGACCGTCCATGAAGCTACAGCTGCTAAGTAAATAGGCCTAAGAATTAGCTGTCGTAATCATTAAGAATGGTGGTTAAGAACTCTAAAACCTGTCTTCACCTACCTGCTCTTCTCCCCACACGCCCCATGATCTCTGTCTTGATTCCTGGCTCATTACTCTTAGATACCAAAAACTGAATTCAAGAGGACAGAAAAAGAAAATCTGGGGAATGCAAGAAGAGCCAAGAAAGGAACCTCGAACAAAACCTGATGATAGATAGAAGTGAAAAGGAGCATCACTGGTTGGCCTCCAGTTCACGCCTATCCAGTCTGACACACTCCTTATCACACTGCCTGTTTAGCGATTCAGCACGTGGACGATGGCAAGGGACAGAGACCTTTAGGGAGTCCTCTCCAAGAAACAGGGCACCAAACCAATACTGAAGGGTGTCTGAATTTTTACCAGATATAAAAGCACAGGAGGCTATTATTCCAGATAATTCTAGGATACAGATGTGTACTGTGATCAAATTAAACTAGAAATAAAGCAGACTTCAGCAGGGTGGGCCTAATTCCTCTGGTTACAAATCCTCAGCTCTGTGACCAGTTTGAATACTGCTGCAGAGGTCGGTGACATTCCCAAATTAGCAGGCTGTAATTAGCAAGTAGCATGAGAGGGGAAAAAATCTCACTCGCATCTGGAGAAATGACCAAACATGGGATGCAACAAGAAGGTCACCCCTGTGAACACCTGGATGCCGCAGGGAACAACCCCTGGGAGTTACTAAGGGGACTGTACTTCAGATGCTTCTCAAGCCTGTGGAGGACATTAGCGATGTCACTGATTTACGGGTCACCTGGAAAACTGTCCAGGATGACAGTATACTCTCCTGCTAAGTTGTTTGCCAGTCTCCCTTAGAAGTAGCTGATTTTGCTAATGCTCACTTGTTTTAAGTTGTTAGTATTCATTTTAAAAGTGTTGGCAAATTTCAGTTTGCTTTTCAGGTCCCCAGAGAAATGTACAGCTTTTAAATTAATTTCAACACGTCAGCGTCACACCGAGGTGACTCAGCCCCACCACTGCTGTAGTTCTGATGGCGTGGTGGGCAGGCGTGCCCTGGGCGGTGGGCTCTGAGCACGGCGCGGCCGGCCTCGGACAGGGACTTACTTGCAGTTCTGGCACACCTTGCACTCGGGACACTGCCAGCCCGCCCGTTTCAGGGGCGTGGCCGCGATGTCCAGGCACAGCCCATGGTAGTGCTGCCCGCAGGTGGTGCAGAAGAACTGGTCCAGCAGGTCCCCCGGGCTGTCGCACACAGCGCAGTTGGCGTCTTCCTTGGCTGCGGGCAGTGGGACAGGAGAGTTAGGAGAATCGGCGAATGACCCGACTTTGCAGTTTCAGACCCCTCAAGGAAACTGGCCTGGGGAATCTTCCAGGCCCTGCAGGTCATCACACTGAACTGACATCTAGTCGGAATCAGGCCTCCGTGAGCTGTGCCCACTGTTGCTGGAGGCCGACACCAACGCGTCTCACCACCACCAGCGAGGTGGGCACCTGGGCAGGCCCGGATGTGCTCACTGAAGCGAACCGACCAGGAAAATGCCAGGTGAGAACACACAGTGCCACACAGTTTTATGTGGATGTTAAATGTATTTCGAAATGAACAAAATCAGAGACAGAAATCAAGAAACAGTGACACCAGTTGATTAGGATGTATCTTCAGCATAAGCAGACTCGGTTTTCTTCAGATCACATGAGGATTTCTAACACCGGGAAACAGGAGGGAGTGCTCATCTCCATGAACTGTCGGTTGGAAAAGCACTGAAACCTACATAATTAAGGGCACCACGTATGCTTTCGTGTGGACTAAGAGAATTTTTTAACAGTCCTACCATCTAAAGCAAAAAAAAAAAAAAACCAACAAAGTTAACTATAAACGGCTTTGTCAGTACATGGTTAAATTCATGTATGTTACAAGATAATAAAAGAGTGAAATCTAAAGCCATACCAATTCGATGCCAAGTGTAAATATGCCTTTATCTCATAGGTTCTCAACTCAATGGTCTGACTGGTGGGCTCTCCTAAAAATGTTTGAAAGTTGTCTACAGAAATCTTCCCTCCCTCCGGCCCCCACACACTCTCACACACATACATCTCATCAGTCCTCTGGCTGTAAACCCTTTTCTACCTGCCTTCTCTTTCCAATCTAGTATCTCTATAAACAGCAATACTCTACCCCTTGGATTTCCAATAGAAATGGGCACAACGGCTCTGTGGATCACGGAAATCTGGCATACAGAACTTTTGAAGAGTCCTTTGAAAATGGTAAAAACCATTCTTAGTTAAAGAGATCGCACAAACAGTGGGTAAGATTGAAACAGGGAGTCGAGGCTGGAGCCGGAGGCCCTGGTGGGAGGCTGAGCTGACCAGTGCTGGGACCATCGGCTCGGAAGGGCAGCCAGCAGCCCCTGCCGCGGCCCTTTGAAGGCCCACACCGCTCCCAGCCCTGGCGATCCCCTAGGTGACACCACCTGCGCGGCACGGTGACCAGCCACCACCCAGGACTGTCGGGCTGGAACGGCCCTGCTACTGCGGGCTGGCTCTGTGCAGTCCACTTTTCCTGAGTGCAAAAACTGCTCAGCAAGCCCATCTGGCGCTGGCTCCCGGACGGATACCTGACACTGAATTCCTGGCGAGGCTGGTGTTCACTGGCATGGACACAGGACGTTAACTTTTGGGCCCTGACCACCATTAACCTATGACAGAGCACCCCTAAAATTACTTCTTATGAAAATTTTCACTTGCTCAAAATGCAATCTTTGTGGGGACTTCTTTCTAAAGAGGTCCGTGTTTTACTTGACTCTTAGCAATTAATAACTAGCAAATAATGAATCCTAGCAGTGAATACACACAGGTAAAACACTACACAACTTCCTGATCATCACCAAGCCATTCTCGCAACACTGCCAAGCTATGCCTAAGTTTAAAGCCCAGGTAAGCACACAACTAGAGCTGGGACGCTGTCGGGACAGCCTGGCGTGCACAAGACCTCCGCAAGACAGCTGCACACACGCACAGCACTGTCACACCCACGGCGACACCCTCCACGGCTGAGGCAAACGGCAGAAAGCTGCATCTGGATGACCAGGGCGCTGGCTTCAGACCGCTGGCTGGCTCTGAGGGCTGCTTTCTCTACACACAGGGCAGCCACGTGAAGCCTTTTTCACCAATGCGCTGGCGTTGGTTGAGTGTGGGATACAGGGATCCCAGCATTTCACCACAAACCAGGCGACCGCTCAGATTCCCTCCTTTGTGCCAGTAGCTGGAACGCCGTGGAGCCAAACGTGTGGCTCGGGTCTCAGAAGTGTGTGCTCACGTGGGTACCCGTCCCCGCTTCGCTCCCCTCCTCCGCGGCTGTCCAAGAGCCGAGGGCCTCACATGCAGTGCGCTGTCGCCACCGTGCACAGCCCAACCTCACAGGGACAGGGCGCAGCACCAGCACCACCTGGCAGCAGGCCCCTGGCCGCCATCTTACTTTAGAAAGTGATGTCCAACCTCTTAATCACAGACGGGCCACACTACTGGGTCCGCCTTCCATGGAAAGAAGCACCACCTTTAGTGCATTAAGTGACAAAATTCTGACTTTAGAAACACAGTTACATAAGAGTTTACAAGATGCTGACTGAAGTGTTAGGTGAAACTGGAGCACAAAGGCTGCTCTAGTCCAGATCCTTGCACACTCAGGCAGTGTGTGAAACGTGCAGAATATAATCAGTTCCGGTGACTGCCTCACGGTTCGTGCACTTAGTGAAGCCAGCCACAGCATGACCAGGATTTACTAGAATGCAATCCCAAAACACCTGTTCCTAAAGGTTTAAGTCTCTTAGTGTCTAGCTACAGTTTGAAATTTCAGTTGGTTTGCCTTTAATTTATGTCTCTATAGTGATCGAGGGCTGTGTGATTAGCATACAGACAAAAATTAATTCTAACTTAAAATGAAATTATTACTCTGGAGGAAGAGAAAAATAATGGTCAAGAACTCTAATAGTTTCAGCTTCTTCAGCTGTTTCCCACAGCAGGAAGAGGCTTTCTCAACATTGCTGAGAAACAGGTAGGAGTTAACCACCAGCAAACTAAGAGGTGCCATGAGAAAGCCGGAGTCACACACGCGTCACAGAGCTGTCCAACGAGAATGAAAGCCCCGTTTCCCAGGAGGTCAGGGCCTCGGGCAGGCGCCTCTCTGGAGATGTGCAGAGTGAGGAAAAGGTCTCTGCTGAAGGACAAAGTGGGGCAAGCTACAATTTCCCACATGAAATAAATCTCAAGCATGTAAACATCCTCACTCAACGCAACATGCCGGGGCGTGCGGCACGCGACAGCGCCAGGGCGCGAGAGCAGCAGGCCCGGCTCAGGCGTCTGGGGGTCCGGCGCTGCACACCTGAAACGGCGCCTGGGCACACGGCTTTCCGCTCCCTCCCCCAGCCCGCCAGCTGACACCGCGGGGAGGACCTGGAACACACCTGTCGGGGCAGGGCCCGCGTCTGCACTGCTTGGAGCTTGGAAAGTGAGAACAAAACGCCCAATCTTTCAATTTTTGAAGAAACAGCTTTTTGGAATTAACGTCCGTGGCAATGCTGATGCCTCCCAGCCCCCCACAAGGATCCCTGGGGTTATCGAGACGGGGTGCAGCCACACTTCAGCACAGCAGAACGCAACACAGGGCGCTTGCACTTACACCTCTCGGGGGCCTGGTCGATGTGCTCGGGGCAGAGCAGGGAGCAGCGCCGGGAGTCCTGGAAGGTGCCGGCCCCCGCGGCGCAGGGGTAGTGGTAGGCCCGGGCACACGCGTCTTCACAGCATCGGATAGTGGCTCCAAGGTGCTTACAGAAGGCACAGCGCTGCGGGCAAAGGAGAGACAGCTCTTTAGAAACCTGGCAATAGGCATGCGAGTGGGGCCGGGGAGGCCGGCAGAGCACGGCTGCTTGCCGAGCCGGGTCCGCAGCACTCAGGGTAAGGGCTTGCGAGCCAGAGAACCCAAGGCCTCGGCTCAGAGCTCCGTAGGCACCAACGCATCGTCCAGGGCTACGAAGTCTGCCTCATGGGGCTTTTTCTTTCCTCTGACAGCGTCAAACGGGAATCGGTAGCACGGCTCAAGGCGGGCTCGCATGAAGGGACACTCTGATGGCGTTCCAGGTCCACCATCCTCGGGACAAGCGGGCAGCGCATCTACCCAGCCTCTCCTCAGCGCCTGTCTGAACGCCACTGTGGCGTGACCTTGCTCGTCATGGAGAGAGCTGACGAAGGACAGGCAGATCGCTGGAGAGACGTGTGCACCTGGCAGCAGCCCTCTCGGAGCCCTGCGGCCCATGCGGGCCTCGAGACCAGTCTAGGCCAGGGGAGGGCAGGAGGCGGAGGGCCACTACAGCGGCGGGGCCTCCGCGGGAGGGTGAGCCAGCCCTGCCGAGCCCCGGGGCCGTGCTGTCTCCGGGGAGCCTCTGCGGGCAGCCCGGCCACCTCACCAGGCAGCGTCACTCTGCACCGCAAGCCAAGACCCTCAGGCAGAGGCGACAGGTCGCATCCCCCTCACGTCTGTGGCAAAGAGCCTGGGAAGCAGGCACCCGTCCCCGCGCGGCAAGGCCACAGGAACCCAGGGACTGAGGCTCCCGACACAGGCTCCCTGGTTCCAGCCCTGCCGGGTGGCCAGAAACCACCCTCGTTTTACAAACGTCATTAATGCCAATGTTTTCCTTGCAAGCCCCCCAAGATCCCAGGCACTGAACCCCTGCGCTGGCGCTCCCAGGAGTCAGCACCGCCTCGGTCTCAGAGGATTAGCAGTGTTTGGGTTTATAAGAAGGGCCACAAATGCACACGCTCACATGAATTCTCTTTTGTAAAGTGCTACTGCATTAGGAAGACCCAAGAAAAGGAATAAAGTCTTACTTCTCTTCATTGCTAGAGAATAGCTTTTCCCAAAGTGGCTATATTCTGATGCCACGACATCCCAAGGGATCTAAACAACTAGTGCATAACAGAACCAGAATTAACAGCATGCATGTATCATCCCAGTAGACGAGGGTGCTGACGGGGCAGTGGATGTATATGTCCAACTGCTGGAAAGTTTCTGCATTACCTTATTAAGTATGAAATAATTATTTTAGTATGCAGTGTTGTTAAAATCAAGAACCTCCAGGGTCCTCCCTAGTGGTGCAGCGGGTTAAATCGAAGCACTAAGAAGCTAAAGCCACTTCCCATGAGTTCGATCCCCGCCTGCCCCGGAGGTGACCACAGGGCTCGGCAGACCTCTCCTGACACGCCCACTGCGCCCTCAGCAGTGCACTTCGTCAGTCTGCCTATCCTGCTCCCCGCTCTGTCCCTGGTGAAACCTCTCACCGCTCCTGCACCTCTGGCTGGTACCCTAGTTCTGTGTGCATAAATAATCTTTTTTAAAAAAAATCAAGAACATTATTTTTATAGCATATGGCCAGGTGTACAAAAGTCTTTTGTGTAATTCACTACAAGTGAATTGGCGTGACGTTATTTAAGTCACCCTTTCTCTCCCCAATGCCTTTACATTTTAGGAACAGCAACATGTTCTCTTCATCACATTGGTAAACCTCTAGGAGAGCTCCTGGAATGAACCCAAGTACTAACTCACAACACATAAAATACAGGGGTGAAGGAAGGGAAAGAGAGTGCCGGCAGGCTGAAGTGATCCCCAGACCATCTGTGTCCCTTGCAAACTAACAAGAGGGTCTGGCAGGGACTAAATAAACTTTACATACAGGCTACTCGATTGTTTTGAAGCAAATGAAAAAGTACCAGTAGAAAATTTGTAGAAAAAATTTTCACAAACACCTTCTACAAGCAGCGCTCTCATCACATACCACATAGTGGAAGCCGAACAAACACAAACCAGCGCACAATGAGAAAGCTGATACTTGTGGGCTCCCTCTGGTGGCCCAGGGGTTTGAGAGCGCAACAACCCCTGCAGCACGAGTTCGGTCCCCGCCAGGGAGTGACCCGCACGGCGCAGCGGGCCTCTGCTGGCCCACCTGCTGCCCGCTCAGCAGCGTATTTCACTGGATCTGCCCGTTGTGCTCCCCTCTCTGTCTCTGCTGAACCCGCTCACCACCACCCCCAGCACCTCTGGCCTGAACCCCAGTTCTCGTACGCATAAACAGATCTTTAAAAAAGAAAACTAGTACTTCGGAGAGAGAAGCAAGGCAAGGGGCTCTTACAGGTCTAATCAACTTATTGGAATCAACACCCCAAACTCCTAGAGAGCCTATTATTTTGATTTCTACATTCTTTAATCAGCCGGAAAGAGAAAACAAAGGAAAAGTGTTACAGCATCTTTTGACATTAGGTCAAGAACACACTCCCCAGCCCCAGGGTACAAGTGCCCACGGGCACTGATCAAGGAAAGAGTCTCTCAAATGTCTAACACCAAATAAACAGAGTAACACAGTTTCAGAGGACTAAGGTTCTAAAGATGAGCTATGAACCAGTAACACAAGTTTCACTTATTTCAAAGGCCATTCACCAATTGTCAAGCATTCCTTCTGTAGCAACTGTGGCCAGTGGCTAAGCACTCTAAGACACTTCAAACACATTTAGCTTTTCCACACACCAAACTGTATCTAATCTTTACCTAACTTTTCTCCTTTACATCAGCCGGGATTCTCCCAGGATACAGCTATTAATAGCAAACGAAGAGAAAGTAGCAAAATGAAGTACAAAGCGAAAGTGTCCTAAAACTTGTTAAAACGTGTTTCACAAGCATGCCACAAAGAGTTAAAGTAAGATGACAAGCAGGCAAATCATTCTGGATGAAACTATCTAGGAAGTGCTGGTACTTGCTGAGCGTAATCTCCACTTAGCAGATGAGGGAAAGACAGAGCCTCACCCTCAACTCCATGAAAAGCTACACCCCACAAAGCACCCAGTCGGCATGTCACAGCTGCACCAAGATGGGAAACGCCAGTCACTTCAAAATGTCTCACACCTAGCAACATCAGGAAGTGCTGAAGATAAGGCTTAGAAGAAAATCCTGGGCCCTCCCTGGTGGGGCAGGGGGTTAGGACGCAGCACTGCAAGCCAGCCACAGCTGCTTCAGGGCAGGTTTGATCCCGGCTTGGAGCTGACCCCCAGGCGCGGCAGCCCTCTCCTGGCCCGCCCGCTGCTCCCCTCGGCAGTGGACTTTCATCCATCTGCCTGTTCTGCTCCCCACTCTGTCTCTGGGGAAGACTCTCACCCTCCGCATCTCTGGCCTGTACCCCATTTCTGTATGCAGAAATAATCTTAAAAAAAAAAAAGAAAGAAAATCCTAGGAGCCCCAAAAAAAATCAGTTATAAGGAAAGGCGAAGAGGTACTGCTTCTATTATCAACACTGATTACAAACGCAAAAAAGCAATTATCTACCCAAAGTCTACACACACTGTAAACCCAGCCTGCCAGCGTTTGCTGAGTGAATATTCAAATCTAGGTAATAAATCAAAGCATTCAGTGTCTGATAATAAAAACAGCTTGGGGCACAGCGACCTGGCAAACTCAGAAATAAAGAGCTGGGTTGGATGGAGAGAGACAGAAAAACGCCATGAAAAACAAGGTGGTGCAGTCCTGACGGCGAAGAAAACAGGGTCCGACCAAAGAGCAGCGGCAAGAGCCCAGCTAAGTTCACATTAGGGTGAGCTCACGTCTCTGACCCCACAGGAGAGCCAGCCCCTGCGATTATCCAGCGAACAGACCTCGATATCATCCTGTCGAAACACCTGGGTAAGTTATTCAACTTTCAAAGAGCCCTCAGAAATCAAGAGGTCAAAGAGACATGAAATACAGTATTCAGTGACAATGATCAAGCTTGATTCAAATGGACACAAAACCACAAATGTCAGTATTCCAAAGATATCGAGACTATACATAGTCTGTTCAAGTGTACATAGACTCTAAATTCACTATCTAAATGGCCATTTAAAAAACTCACATTTGAATAAGATATTTGATCACTTTTTGTAAAAGGTTATTTTTTAAAAGCAAGTCAGTTCTAATAAAATACTAACTATAAATTTGCTTTAGAATAAGCCCAGGCCCTCCCTGGGGGCGCAGCTGGGTTAAAGCACTGCACTAAGAAGCTTAAGCCACTTCCACATGAGTTCGTTCCCGCCTGCCCCTCCCGGCCCGCCCCAGAGGAGATCCACAGGGCGAGGCAGACCTCTCCTGGCCCGCCTGCTGCTCCCCTCAGCAGTGTACTTCAGTCAGCCTGTTCTGCTCTCCACTCTGTCTCTGGTGAAGCCTCTCACCCTCCGCATCTCTGGCCTGTACCCCAGTTCTGTATGAATAATAAATCTTTAAAAAAAAAAAAAAGCAGCAGCCCCCAAGTCACCCCTAAGCAGAATGAAAACTCCTTATTATCTAAAGGCAGTCTTTTAACCAAAGAAAAACATGCATTATTTTTCAAATGGTTCAGTAAGAAACATGTCAGCATGTCTGAGATGTGGTAAACGAGGTTCAGAGGAAAAAATATGTAACTTGAAAAATGCAACTCAAGACTGAAGAATAAAAGCATGAAGCCAGATTTAAAAACTGAGGGCACTAGGAGTCCACATATATTGCGCAAGGTGGGTCAGTCACCTAAGCTAAAGGCAGTAACCCACCTGCGGGGTGTCCTTAGGGAAATACTAATGAGATTCGGGTGTGTCAGTCTCCAGCCAAAGAACTAAGTTTGTTTTCTAAAGATGAGCCTGAAATAAAAAAGCCCTAGCAAACCATTTAGTATCTGAACGGTCCTGAAGCAACGAGTGTCTCAACCAGCCAGCGAGCCTTCTTGCTCTGGCCCACTTCACTAGTCACACACTCAAGTCTCCGCTGACAAAAGAACACTGAACAACCCCAGCCGCA